GGCTCTATACACATTCAAGGTTGTTTTCTTCTGAGTTATCAGTGACTCACAAATGGTTAATGCTCTTTTTTACATAGTGTGTCATTTACACTCCCCTTTTGCTCACTCGGTCGCTCTAAATAGGTTATAACAATTGGTTTAATTTTGTAACTGTGAAAGCATCACACCAGGTTTCCATAATACCAGCTAAATAAAATTTATGCTCATCAAGGACTAGTTTCATTTTTACTTGTCTGTTACTCATGAGCCTAGCATTGTGTACAGATAATTCCAGATTTTCTACTTTTCATGTCCTTTGGTTCCTTGATTCATTTTGTTCTCAACATCTTGATTTTTGCTAAATGAGTTCTCAGACCTTTTCTCTGTTTTACTCTCTTATTCTGTTATTAGTTTAATCTCCTCTTGACTCATCTAGCCAACCTGTCCCAGAGGACATTAATTATTAATTCTCATCCTACTGAGCTAAAACTGTTGATCAAATAGTATGCAACAAATAATATACCTAATGACTTCAGAGCAGGGAATGGGTGGATTTATAATGCATTAGTTCATACATGTGTCAACGACTTCAGTGCGGAATGGATGTACAGCGGGGCGACTTATAGCGGGAATGTCCTGTATTTATATGAGAAGTTTTTGTTGCTGTTTTTTGTCTGACCAGAACATCCATAATTGCACATCCATGAGAGTTACTCATTCAATTAACACTTTTCCTTTTGCTAAATATGAGCAATTAAAGCTATAGCATCATGCACCCTGAGTTAGGGCATGTCTTCCCTATCCACTGGATCGACAGGCAGCAATTGATTCAGTGGGGGTTGATTTATCACATCAAGGATAGATAGACCAACGAGCACTCTCCCATCGACTCGGGTACCCCACAAAATGAGAAGAGTAGGAAGAGTCAAAGGGAAAGCGTCAGCTGTTGGCCATGAGTATGCTGATTTCAGCTACATTATTCATGTCGCTGAAATTACATAACTTAGGTCAATGGCTCGCAGTAGGTCTTCATCAGTGGTTAGTGACAGAGGAAGTTGGAGTAAAGTTACAAGACTTAAATTATATTTTGGAAACTGACACTGCAGTTTGGCTGATGGGTGTTAACTCTCAACATGTGTGAGGTTTCATGCACTCACAAATAGTTCAGCCCAGCCTTTAAGCTAAACTATGAGCTGGTGGTTTCTAGTCCAATCTCCCTAGCTTCTTCTCCATGCCGTCATGTCTGGAACCCCCTTCCACAGATTACAGGGAGTGCAGAGGCAACCTTCCATTCACTTCCACACCTGTTCCCACACTCCTGAGGGCATGTTGTCCCTCCCCCATAAGCCTGAGCTATGCTAGGTACATGTGTCACTATGACTTTGTTGCTCAGGGTGTGGGATCCCACGTGATGTAGTTATATTGATGTAACCCTGGTGTAGACAGCACTGTGTTGGTAGGAGGGGATTCTCCCAGGGACATAACTGCTGCCTCTTACTTACACCCAAAGGAAGAAGCTCTGTCATTGGTATAGGTAGCATCATCACTGATCACTATCAAGATGCTGTTATGCTACTGCAGTGCTGTAAGTGTACACAAGCCCACAGTATTACTTGGTATCTGAGTTCCTGCGGTGTGGAAGGCTCTTTCCTGGGGCAACACCTTAATGAACTGGATTTTTTTACAAACATTGTTACAACTGTGTATGATGTGCATATAAAAGATGAACCCATCGAGTATTTTCCTCCACATAATGTTGGGCCAGATCCTCACCTGGGGTAATTCAATGGGTGCCAATTTACGCCAGCTAGCAATCTGGCCTGTGGCATTGTTATTTCTCCCCTACATTATACACCCTATAATTATACCTACAATGAAGATATAAAGGTGCTTAGTTATGTCACTGGTGAATATGCTTGAAAACTGAAAGCAAGAGGTTGAGAAATAGTTATTCAAAGAGAAACAAACACTTTTACATAACTTTTAAGCAAACATCATTCTGGAACGTATTAGCAGGTCTGCTGTAAAAAAGGCCCGAGAACTGCTCTAGGGGCTGAGGGCTGCAGCGGGAAAAAATGCCCTTCTCCAAGCCCCTAAGCTACTACTGCAAAGAGACCCCCCTCCCTGACCCCAGCACAGAGCTGATATGGCCAGAGAAACTACTGCAGCTTGAGGGGAGGCACCCCAACCCCAGGTCTGAGCCCCTCCCCAAACCTGGAGTCCCCTTTTGCATCCCAAACCCCTCATCCCCAGGCCCACCTCAGAGTCCTCATCCCCTCCTGCATTTCAACCCCTTGCTTCAACTCACAGCCTCCTCCTATATTCTGAATTCCTGAGCCCTACCCCCAGCCTTGAAGCCTCCTGGCACACTAAAGCCCTCATCTCTAGCCCCACTTCAGAATCCATACCCCCAGGTAGAGCTGTCACCCGCCTCCCACATACCAACTGTCTGCCCCATCCCAGTACCCCCACTTAGAGCCCCCATCCCAATCCCTCAGCCCAACATTTGCTACATACTGTCTATGGGTATGTCTACACTACCCCGCTAGTTCGAACTAGGAGGGTAATGTAGGCATACCGCACTTGCAAATGAAGCCCGGGATTTGAATTTCCTGGGCTTCATTTGCATAAGCCGGCCGGCACCATTTTTAAATGCTGGCTTGTTCGAACCCCGTGCCGCGTGTAGCTGCGCGGCACGGGGTTCGAACAAGCCGGCATTTAAAAATGATGCCGGCCGGCTTATGCAAACGAAGCCCGGGAAATTCAAATCCCGGGCTTCATTTGCAAGTGCGGTATGCCTACATTACCCTCCTAGTTCGAACTAGCGGGGTAGTGTAGACATACCCTATGTGTGCAATGACTTTTGTTATGTGATAGACCACCTCCATATTAAGAACATAAGAACGGCCGTATTGGGTCAGACCAAAGGTCCATCTAGCCCAGTATCCTGTCTACCGACAGTGGCCAGCACCAGGTACCCCAGAGAGGGTGGACCAAAGACAATGATCAAGCGATTTGTCTCCTGCCGTCCCTCTCCAGCCTCTGACAAACAGAGGCCAAGGACACCATTTTATCCTCTGGCTAATAGCCTTTTATGGACCTAACCTCCATGAAATTATCTAGCTTCTCTTTAAACTCTATTATAGTCCTAGCCTTCACAGCCTCCTCTGGCAAGGAGTTCCACAGGTTGACTACACGCTGTGTGAAGAAGAACTTTCTTTTATTAGTTTTAAACCTGCTCCCCATTAATTTCATTTGGTGTCCTCTAGTTCTTCTATTATGGGAACTAATAAATAATTTTTCTTTATCGGCCCTCTGCACACCACTCATGATTTTATAGACCTCTATCATATCCCCCCCGCCTCAGTCTCCTCTTTTCTAAACTGAAAAGTCCCAGTCGCTTTAACCTCTCCTCATATGGGACCGGTTCCAAAACCCTAATCATTTTAGTTGCCCTTTTCTGAACCCTTTCCAAGGCCAAAATATCTTTTTTGAGGTGAGGAGACCACATCTGTACTGTCCATATTGGAGCACATGGACATAAAAAATTAGAGGGAACACTGCCATTGATGACAGGACAAGAAGCAAAGGCCTTAAATTGCATCAGGGGAGGTTTAGGCTGGACATTAGGCAAAACGTCCTGTCAGTGGGGTTAAACACTGGAATAAGTTGTCTAGAGAGGCTATGGAACCTCCATCACTGGAGATATTGAAGAGCAGGTTAAACAAACATCTGACAGGGATGATCTAAATGGTGCTTGGTCCTGCCATAAGTGCAAGGGACTGGACTTGATGACCTCTCGAGGTTCCTTCCAGTTCTAGGATTCTACGCTCTTATGAGAAATGACATCTGAGGCTACACATTTCTCTAATTACACGTTTTATTGATTTTGTAACAAAGAAAATGATTTGCACAAAACAAAGTGAAGAAGTCTACCAGAATAAAAGCTGACATTCAAAGTCTGTGGTACACTTGTATGCTACCACTGGAAAGCCAATGAATAGCTCCTCTATAGAGGAAATAATGACATAAATTTGTATTCCCCCCCTTTTATAAATAAAAAAGGCATAGGTTTGAAAAGACATAGAAGTTATATAATAACTAAAAATGGTAGTTACCTTCACCACTAATAAATACATTGCAAGTAATGTACCATCTTTTTAAAAAGGATATTTATCATGGAGTTTAGGGCCAAAACATAGGTGGGGAGAGTTGTTTGTTTAAAAAACTTTTAACAAAAGCTAACATTAACAGCATTTGTTAAAATATTTTAAATGAATTCATCTTTTTTTTGTTCAGAGTTTTATACTGTACTCTGAATGGCACAGCACAAGCCTACTGCAGGAGGACTAGAAAGCATAACTTCTTGGCCTGTTTTCATTTGTTCAAGATGAGGGGAATGCAAAAAATAAATAAACAGCATAAACAATAGTGGGAGGAAAAGTTCCGAGACCGGAAGGCTCTTCTTCCCAAAGACGGAGGGTGTTTGCATACGATGTTTTGTTCTAGAAAAAGTAAATCTGAATATAACAATGACTGAGCCTCTTAAAGCAGCATAAAATCAGGTCTCCACTTGCCACCTCAGATAGCAATCTTTTTGCATTCAATTTAGCAGGTCCAGTAAGGAATAAGGGAAGCTGATAGGAGAGTTTTCTCCCTTCAACCTCCTGCTGTGAAGACAGCACCAAGTCTGGCTTAAGGTGCATCCCAGTTATGTTATTTATGTAGCTGGAGTTGCGTACCTTAAGCTGACCGTCTAGGTCTAGTGTATACCTGGACTGAGGCACATAAAACATATACATTCTGCTCAGATTAATGGAAGGTAGTGGTCTAAATCTTCCAAATGGCTTTGAAAATCCCTATCAATTATTTTCAATGATCATTGGCAGCACGATAAGTACAAATATTTATAGCACATGCAATATTCCTAACAGTATGATGATTTCTAATGACAATGTACTTTAAAGCATACCTAAGCATCCAAAGAGAAGAGCTAGTGAATGTGTGTGGGGAAGGTGTCTGAAATGGCCTCTTCGCATTAGTGGTTCAGGGTTCAAACGCAGCATTACTCTTAAACATGCTTTTTCCTTTTGTTTTGTAGTTTGGGAAGATAGGGTCCGGTTGAGACCAGCATTATCTATGATATATAACCGTGCTCTCTCTCTCTGTTCCGTAGCCTAGGAAATTAGATAAGTATGTAGTTGCTCTATTTTGTTATGTCTCTTGCTTATCCTCATTGGCTCTGCATAACATATTTTCAGGGTCGAATTTCTTGTAATCTCTGTAATTTGTTAGTTTGTAGTATAAAAGTGTGGATTCAGTTAGAAATTATACAAATAGTAATTAGGGGTGGGTATAATTGTATTCATTATTTGCTTATTAATATTCATTTTATGGGAGTTAACATTACTAAATAAGGCTTTACGAAAAGTAATGCTAGATGTGTGAATTAACATACAGCCGGTCCCTGGGTTGTGAGCGGTCGACTTACAACAGTTTGCAGTTACGACCGAAGCTGTTGTAAATGGCGAACCCCGAGTTACGAATGCGATCCGCGCTTATGAACAGCACGGTAGCATGTAACTCTATGGGGTCTGACTTATGAACAAACCAAGTTATGACCAATTGCTTGGTCTGTAACCAGTTCGTAAGTCGGAGAGAGGCTGTATTAAAATAGATAAAAGGATTTAATTGGCACCAGGTTGTTGCCACTCGGACATTGTGTTGTCCGAGGTAAACGTGCATAGGCAATAAAGCAGTTCCGTTTACCCCATCTGCTCCTGGGTCACCTGTTTCTTCTCTAACAGTGAATGACAGCAATATGTCGTCCAAGTATGTGTTGTGGAACAGCCTGTATTGCTGCACTTCTCTTTCTAGCCATCTGCTTGCTTGTTCTGCACACTGAAGTGCCTCTTCACATGAACTCCTCCAACCCAGGGGTGGGGAACTGTCTTCCTACCTCACTTTGATTTCAAGAAATTTTGAACCAGAAACTGTTTGAGGCGTAGCTGAAACAGTATTTTTGCTCTGATCATGCTCTTCTGGGACCAGGCAGAGAGGTGAGGTGCAGGGATCCCTATTTTTGATTATGCATTGCCTGGGGAAGGCACATTCCCCTTTTTTTAGCAGAGACAAGTAATGCTTCCTGCTTAACTTTTGCCCTTTCCAAATTGCTGAATTCAGCTGATGCATTTCTGCTTGACTCAGTATCAAACAAATGGCATGGGAGAGGGTGAAAACAAGTACACCACAGGTAAAAGAATCTTGCTGTCAGCTGGGCTGAACTTTGGCCACTGTGTAATAAAGGAAATTTACTGAACAAGAAACTGGCATTTTGGAGTGTTTTTGAACTCAGAAGCTTGAAGTTAAGCACATGGATAAGTGCAGTGCTAAATCAGGGCCTAAATATCAGAGATTTGCTAAATAAACTCATTACATAATATGAAATTCACCTTGTGCACTGGCAGCAAAAGACCTATGCACTACTTAAGCTTCACTTCAGCCTTCACAATAGCTCATAAGTAGAATTTAAGTGATGTATAGACATTTGCACTTGAGTGAATTTAATCTTTGTTCAGAAGGAAGGGAAAAGTACAGACAAATCTGTTAAAGCCAGTTGGAAAATTGTATTCACATTTTTCATGGAATAGTTTTCCAATGTTGATATATGCAAAACTGGAAACCAATTTTTCCCCCTCAGATTTTCATCACAAACATGGATAACTTGGAAATAAACAAAAATCTTTCACACAATTTTTCATTTAGTTACAAGATAGTTTTCCTTCGGAAAAAAATTAAATGATAAATTTCAACTAGCTCTATTGATCAGCTTCTTCCATATTTTGAGAATGTGGAATTGTGGACTTTCCTAGAATATGCTACTTAATTGTTAACATTTTAGCTTGTGTCTGACTTCTTGTTTGACTTATGCCAGTTATTACAAATGCTACCAGCAGGTTCTACATTTTGATCATTGGAACACTATGAGATGCAGCCTCAAAGTATAAAACACTTTTTAAACCAGCCCCAGAAGTGAGGAGAATGCAACTGTGCTGATTATGCCATCTGAGGAACTGGCTTCTACTGATCTTGATCTTAAAGATTACTGCAACCTGATATTCAAGGTTGAAAGCTTTTGCAGCACAATTGTCCAATTTCTTGGAACAAGTAGTGTATACAATGCAGTGCTACCTCACCATGGTAGATGATATGCAGAAAGAGTTTTTGTTTTTGTTCTACATTAAGATTATTTTGTCTTAGATGGGCCAGGAGCTACTTCCATTTGTACCAGGTGAAGATCTGACTCTGTACCTGTAAAGTTAACAGACCATTTTTTATCCCTTTTCTCTATAAAGACTTTATCTGAGGAATCTCATTATTAGCCTGCTCCACAGCAAGTTGGTTCTCAAACACACAGTATGATTTATAAGTTCCCACAAGTCTGGCATGAAAATTTGCCTCATCCACCTTACGCCAAGTGTCTGTTGCAATGTACACATTATACGGATCCTCTGAGTGCTCCAACTTTTTAGAGCGGATGTTGCTAAGCATTGTTCCAAATGTGAAAAAGCCAAAGAAACCAATCAATAAGAGCACATAGATGATTTGCAGGTTGTCATTGGGTTTTCCATGGTGGGAAGACGCAGAGTTATTTGTCTGGGCTACGTATTCTTGTAATAATTTGGAGAGGAGGGAATTCAGTGCTGTATCATTAGACAGTGTCGCCATCTTGTTCCGTCACTCCTTCCGTTCTGAAGTGGTGATTTCTAGAGAAGAAAAAAAGCCAGGCACTCTTTTAAAACCCTTTGGGGCAGTAAATCTGTACAACTGATAAGTATCCTCTCTGGCTTCCTTTCTCAAAGACGATAACTATTTCATGGGAGAATGCTGAACTTGGAAACCACCTATTTCGCACCAGTTCATCGGCTGATGTAAATTGGCATATTACATTTGTGGAGCTCTATTAGTTCAATTTACATCAATGGAGCACCTGATCCTCATGTGCAATGTTTACTAAGAAAATACGAACAAACAAACATCCTAAATGAATTACTACTGTTCTCTTTGTCTCCTTTCCCACGGTGCTGTAGTAAGACAGGTTGGGGGACAATAGGGACTGGAAAACACAGAAGGCAGCTGCGAAAGCAGCAGGGGACAGAAGTAAGAGGCAGTAGCCTCCAGAGCAGGAGCTCTTAAGGGCTAGAGCCTCTATCTCTAATAAACCAAAAAAACTAGCCACCCTCTTGCTATACTGTAACTGATTCACAGGATGTGTCTCCAATAAAGCCATCATGCAACTGTGAGTTTTGTTGGATGGTTGAGCTGACCTCTGGGCAATCAGAATACTTGGGCACCAGGAATCAAAGATTTTTGGTAATCAACACTAGTTTGATTGAGAGTTTTACGCAAGAAGCTTAATGATCATTTCCCGCTTTAGAGTCTCAACAGTAGACATCCTGGGCAGTAAATCCTTTCAGTGAATAAGAACAATGTATCAGAATTGCTGCAATATCCAAGTCTCTCCAGCCAGGCAACGTAACTGATCTGTAACTTTAATCTAAGTACAATGCACAATTTAGCTTTTGTAATAAATTAAAACAAACATTTCCTATTGTATTATGCCCTTCCAATTTTTGAATAGCAGGTACTGTAGTTCAAGGTGACTTCACTGACAATAATCTAGTAATAATATAAGAGCTGTTAGTTCTTTATACAGTTTTAATTACATGAAAACAGAGCGGTCCATTTACACAGGCTCTTATATTATTAGGAATTTTTTAGACATGTACAGTATTTTATTCATTTTCATCAAGGGTCACATTTATTCCTGGGCAGAAGGTCAGAACAAGGTTTATGCAGGACTGACACACTACTTGAACTTTAGTCTGAGGGCTTACATAGTGCTTGAGTGGTGCATAGATCTTGTGCTGGCCCTCTGCACAGGAGTGTTTTTCACTCTATATGCTCTGCTTAGGAGTAATGCTATATCAGTATATGCTATATCATAATGCTGGTTTGAATGTTCTGTTTCTACACTGTGTATGACTAATGCTGAGCAGATTTTTGTGTGAAAAAAATGTTGGGGGTGAAAACTGCAGATTCAGTGCCACCAAAATCTTTGTAAATTCATGCTGATTTTGTCAAATTCTTTTAGATGAAAAGGAAAGTCATTTTTAATCATTTGAATTTTTAAAAAATCAAAAGTTAAGATTTTTTTATTTAAAATGATTCTGCCGCTCCATTTTTTTTCTTAACTTATAAAGGTAACATCCAAGAACAATAGAAACCAAATGAAACAGGTTATTTGGTTCAAATCAATTTTTTTTCAACTTTAAAAAAAATTCAAAATGTTTCCTTTCAAATTGACCCAAAATATGTTTGATTGACAGCAAGCAGAAAGATCTGCTCTTTACCCAGTTCTGTATAGGACATGTGCAAAGAGGGTGACTCTGATGCACTCAAAATGAAAAAAATAAATTGATCCTGTGATTCTTTGTCCTTTATAAGAACCACATTTATTTACCTGAAATATAATGCTATGAAATATGTTAATGAAATGAAACGTTAATACAACAATATATGGATTTCAGCATTGGAACTGTGTGAACATTAAGCTAGGAGACCCCAAACTTTGCAATATTTCCCCTGGTTTTGAGTTCATTGCAAACTTGACAGCCCAAACTTGTAAACATTTTGGAGAAATGCTTGTGCTCCTTGCATTTTCTAGGAAAGATTTATGGTTTCAATCAAAACATACAAAATGTAATTATTGCAACCTGAAATCAGACAAAAATTGGTGGTTCGGGTTACTTGATGGTTCAGACTAATCCTGAAATTTGAAAATATAGCTCTGGCAAGATGTGAACCAAAACAAAATGTTAAAGCAATTGAGAAGTGAAATCATCAAATTTCAGGTAGCAACAGTATCATTATTCAACACAGAAACCCTCTGATTACCTTTTAGAACAAATAGAAACTGAGTTTAACATTTGTTTGACAAGAGTCCAAATTCTCTGCCCACAAGATGAAAAAATCTCCCTTACAAAATAATGCCCAGATCTAAATTATTGCTTTAGACAAAAGCTTAAATTTACTTACATAAACTTACATGTGGGTAACTTGAACTTAGCAGGTTAAAATACATTCACATTTCTTTAGCTGTTAAAAGATCCTGTAAAAGCAGAAAGAAAAAAAGGAAGTTGAAGCCTTTATCTGTGAAATAATTATTTCTACAAACTGGTGGGAAGTACATCAACTTTCTGAATACTGTAAAATGTAAAGAGCCATCCAACCAAAGTAGTGATTTAAAAACAAAACAAGAAATAGTTTATTTGAATCTCTCAGCTGATCATTCATGCAAGAAAGAGATTTAACTGTTTGCTAACATAAAATATTAGCATAATTAATTAATCTTTAAGGATGGATCTATTAACGTAAATGGGTCAGGAAAGAATCCTTAGATAACTATACCCCTATGTACTACAATGCTTCCAAGATAACTGAACTTCAACAGCAAACACATCAATAAATTTGCAGAACATGTGCATGATTTTTTTAAAATTGCAAATGGAGGTGAGTGTGAACCACTGAACATTGCTTTGTGATGTTGTGTACACATATTCCTTCTCCAACAGTGGGTGAGCATGTTGTGTGGCTCTAAGATAGCTGCACAAGTATAATAATCTAAGATAAATTCTGTGAATTCCTTCCACTCTGCATGGCCAAGAGATAAATAAGGACCCTAGGAAATCCTTTAAGTCACTTATCATTGGTTCTACAGTGCCAGCAGGGTTTTAGATTCAGATAGAAAGACCCTTAAGAATGGTCAGAGGATGATATTACACTGAGACATAAGAATACAAGGCTTGATTCACCACTACATTACTCCAGTTTAGCATGTGCATGACACAATTGCAACCAGTCAATTTGCACCTATCTAAAAACTACAGTAATGAATTAGGCCAACTGTTTCAGTTTCTTGGTGGTCCTTCCACAAGAATCAACCCTTGTATGTGGCAATCACTCTAGCAACTATAATGGAATTGCACCAAGGCTGCAATTCTCCTTCTCTTCTTTTGTGCTCTGTTTATTGCCAATATGGGTGCCTTCACATTGTTCAATTTCCTTCCTGGCCTTATTGCAGGGGTCATCAATATACAGATCATGGGTCAAATCCAGATTGCCAGATGCTTTTGAACTGACCCCAAAATCTTTTCATTTTTCATTTCATTTCATTTATTCATTATAGCGATGTGGGAGGGTTTATTATTTTATTATTATGTTATTATTTGACCAAGACATTTGGAACTTGGCAACAAATAACCTACTACCCCTACTACTGTGTCAGGAAATGAGGGACTTTCTCTGAGCCCTCTCTTCTGTCCGTGGGAAAAGCAGGTGAGTTTGTGGGCATTGCTCCGCCAGTTGCAGTGTGTTTTAAAAAGATTTATTTGTAAATGTAGCACTATTTAAAACTGAAAGAGCCAGAGCGTCCACTGGCATAATCATTGTGACTCCCTCTGACTTGCACCAGTAGAAGGGTTGGCCCAATGATTCCTTTCTCCATTTGTCTGCAGATGTTGTTTGAGAAGTTTTAAAGTGAGTGCTTTTCTGTACTAGGATTTTTACACCAATGTACTTGCACCGGTGCAACCCCCTTATGTAAGTGTGCCTTGCACTGGTACAAAAACACCATTTGTGACAGGTGCTTAGACATTCACATTGCTCAATCCTCATACTTCCCGCCAACCATCTCTTTATGTGCATGCGCTACCCAGTTATTACCCTAGTCATTCTCTCTGGCCTAGACAAGAACCCTGTCAACCAGGGAGCAAGAGTGGAAGGAGGTGGGGGAGGAGAATTTGTGATGGTGAAAAAAAAAAGAAAAGTGCTAAATAAGCCTCCAATGGCCACTTTGTTCTTGATTTGTATCTCCATCCTATGGGAGCCTATCACTGAAGGGGAATTAGTCAGAAGCGGCCCTGACAGATGTACGTGAAGGAAAGAATCAAAGGGGATTCTCTGCTAGCAGATGCCTTTCAAATAAGTATTTAAACAATTCAAGCAGTCCAGACGGCTGGTAACTAGAACTTTCAACCAACAAGATCCTTTTGTTTAAAAGTAGATTGCTTTTTAGTTGGAGTGATCAGGATGTTCTCCCATAGCAGTGAAATAGCAAAATGCGGGTGTTCGATGAAGCAGATAAAATACCATTACCCACCAATACATCAAGCGAAATGTACTCTTCAACTTGATGGGGATACAGGTGAATTGTTTCTGTCTGTCTCAGTTTTCCATCTGCATCACATGAGACTGAGTGCTACCTTGAAGACTGCAAGAACTGGGCCAGAGAACAGGAAGCCTTTTTCTCTCCTGTGTTCTCCTTGACCCCACTTTTCATACCCAGGGAATGTGGAAGAGGAAGCTGGTTGATGTGAATGCATAACAGGACAAAAGCCAGTTCACTGGGGAAGAAAAAGAGTACATAAGAACATAAGACCAGCCACACTGGGTCAGAACAAAGGTCTACCTAGCCCAGTGTCCTGTCTTCTGACAGTGGTCAGTGCCAGGTCCCCCAGAAGGAATGAACAGAACAGGGAATCATCAAATGATCTCTCTCCTGTGAGCCATTCCCAGCCTCTGACAAACAGGTGAGGGACACCATTCCTACCCATCTTAGCTAATAAGTATTGATGGACCTAACCTCCATGAATTTATCTAGCTCTTTTTTAACCCTGTTAAAGTCCTGGTCTTCACAAGTTCTGCCCGTGGACATACCTAGTTCCAAGTCTACCAAATTAAAGTTCAAGTTCTACCATACCATAATAAATCTTCTCCAATTTCTGTCAGTCAGTTCATTACCAAATACAAGAATTTATGATTATAGAGTAGTTGTGCTAAGAAAGAAAAGAAAGTTACACATTAATTCATCCCTAAAAGCACAGATACAGCCATGTTGGATATGTACGAGTATAATGTATACAGCACAACCCAAAGGGTTAATTTCAACATATCAGTCTTCTGTTGCAGTGTATATTCTAAATATTTCATGTACACTGGTAATTTTTACAGGTTCAGGCCTGATCAGAAAAGCATGCATTCCAAGGAATTCTTGTTTGGCCCCAGCTACCTTTTAAGATTCTTCTCATTCAGTGAGCGTAATCTTATTATAATGTTCTTCAACGATCTAATCTTGCTCCTGTCATGTCCAGGGGAACATTAACATTGGCCATAAACTGCGTAGGCTCAGACCCAACATTTTTAAGGATGTCTGTGCTCGTCATGCAGGCTGAGTTCAGAATGCAATAGATTTTCTTAGTGTGTATAATGTAGACATCCATAACTGATAAATGCCAGATCCTCCACTGATGTATATTGGTGTGACTCCCTTTAAGTCAATGGATGTAGGATGAATTACATCAGCTGAGAATCTGCCCTTAATATCTTTCCTTCCATATGACCATCAGCAATAGCAGCTGATCACCGAAACCTCTACAGAAGTATTTGTCCTCTGAAAATACAGCACCACAGTAACCTTTTCATGGGGCAATTGGGGGCTTCAAGCCTGTGTGCCAATCCAACAGGTAGATGTTAGCACAGCTCTTTGCCCATAATCACTCCCATAAATGTCTTGTAACAGTACTATCCTCGCCCCTTATACATCACTGCAACCCATTGCAGCAGATTGAAAGTTGTGTTCTTCCCTGGCCATTCACTCACGGTATGCCTACATTACCCTCCTATTTCGAATTAGGAGGGTAGTGTAGACATACCCTCAGAGAGATTGCTAAAATGAGCAGGTGTGAGGAGACTGGAATGTGCCACAACAGAGCCCCCACTCAACACATTCTGGGCATATTTAGATAGGTATTTAGATATCATGGTGATGGGTGCAAAAAAAAAAAAAAAAAGAACCCCACCCAAGATAGAGAGGGTGCATCTACACAGCAGGATTATTTTAGCAGTATGTAGGGTACATACACAGTTAGCCCCCAGCAGAGGTAAAAATAGCAGTATAGACTGTAAAACACAGATTAAGCCAGTAGAGTAAAGGCATCCTGAAGGGTGTGCATGTGCATGTGCGTGTGCGTGTGTAGTTGGGGTACATACCCTACATGCTCTCTACTCACCCAAGTCACGCTTCCCATTTGCACTGCTATTTCTAGCAATGTAGAGTTGCTCTAATGCCCATTGATAGATCCTCTCCTCTTTGCAGGGAAAGTCTATGGTCATGGTGGAGGGGAAGCACGACCACAGGGAAAGGCTGCCAGTTCCCCTTTATTGTATCCTTTGCCTTCTGCAGAAAATGATTCTGTAGGGGGGAAAAGCTCTGTCAGGGAGACAGGGAGTGGGAGAAAGGCAGAGCCTTTCCTTGCTGTTCCCCCTGGCTAGAGCCTTTCCTAGCTGCACTGAAAGGCTGTAGCAATGGGAAGCTGCTGATGCCTTTTTTCCCCTGCCTCCCTCTGCCAGACCCTGTCACCGGTTTGCGTAGCAGCACATCCTAGCATGCCTTTCGCGTAAACTACCTCTCTCTGCGTAAACTGCAGACTGCAAAAAGTGATGTATAGTGTAGACGTAGCCTTAGGGAGATTTATGCTTCCACTCCTGTACACTGACTCAGACTGTTTTCGTCAACAATTGCAATTTAATAAACTTCCACGTGTGAGCAGATTAGATTGCATCATTCCTCTTCCTTGTGCATCACTATTCACCCAATCCTCAACCATCATCCCTCATTCCACTTTAGACAGCCACACAGATAAAGCCGGGCTGGGCTAGTTGGCTTGCTCCTTTAAAACTGTTCTGTTTATGAGTGCAAGATAGAAATTCAACCCCCCACGTCACACATTTGCTTTGACAGCCTAAAATCATATGCACCGTGTTTGTCCCTCCAGAGCTAGCTACCCCGGGCTGATGCGCAACATACGCATTGAAAAGTGCCAGGCACGTCTCGGGCACCATGCAAAGAAATAACAATAATAACAAAGGCCCCCTCCCTTTTTATTCACCTACACAAATTCCTTTGAGGGAGGCTTATGCAAACTGTAGCTCTCATGCTCACGATTATTTTCCCTGCCCTCACCTTAGCCCCTTTGTGCTGACCTGTATGTTGTGGTCCCAAGTTGTTTAGCAAAATACAGGCAAGACTCAGGATTCCAGCTTTGGCTGAGAAAAGGAGAAGCAGAAACCAGGTGAGCTCTAGAGACACCAAGAGCCACATTTGTCCCTAGGTTCCCTGGGGTCAGAGCAGGAGCAAAATTTGCTCCTAATTTCTATGGGGGCCCAGCACAAAAAAAGTCCCTAGAAGGCTCAGTTGTGCAAAGGCTGAGAGGCAAACATGCAAACTCACCAGGCTGTGCAGCTGGAGGAGGGCGGGAGCCTGTGAGCTGGGTGCTGTAAGCCAAATCCTCTCACTGGGAGTAGGAGTGGGAGGCAGCCTGAAGTCTAGGTGTTGGGAACCAGCCTCATATTATGTGCGTATGTGGGCGGTAACCTGCGATATGGGCACTGGGAGCCAACCTCACACCATGTGCACAGGGGGCAGGGCAGCTGGGGCAGTTCTGGGCAAGAGCCAGGGGCTGGCTGGTCCCAGCATAGCAGCCTCTCTGGGGACAGCAGATCCTCAGCAAGGGAGTTCCCTCCTCTCACAAAATAAGAAAGAGGAATGGAACTTGCTCTTGGTACAGCGCCCTGTCCCTGGCTCTAAGTTGACTCGGCCCTTGGCTCCCTGGCCTGCACCCACTGTTCCCCTGCTCCCAGTTTAGTGCCCCCTGAGTAGCCACACAATGATCCAGCCTCTTTTCTTTGATCCTGTCTTCCCCCCCAGTCACCCACACTCCTGTTCTCCTGGCATTCTGCCACTCGCCCCAACACACACACTGCCCAGTCACACCACATGTCTATCTCCACAGGCCCTGCACACACCTCATGCATCTATCAGAATGCCTTTCAACATACTGCATCCTGCAGCCCTCACATGCCTGCGTCCCACCAGGGCCGGCACACAACATTTTGGCACCTGAGGTGGGGAGCAAAAGTGATGTCCCCACGCCCCCTCGCTTGGGCCAAAATGTTGAAAGGTCTCAATTCTCTGGGTCCTAGTGGTCCCCGGCCACCTCAGTTCGCCTCATGGTAAGGCCAGCCCCGTGTCCTGCCCCACACCTCTTTGCAGTCTGGAGTCGAGAGAGAGGACAGAACCTCAGAACAATCACCATGACACTACTCTGAACAGAGCTCATTCTTTGTTGCATTAACAAGTCTGCCACAGGTTGTTCTTTAGCTCTGCAGCAATACACTGAATGAAACGTTTTTGGGAGCAAAACAAAGATCTCCTGTAAAATGGCTGCTATCAATGCTATGACTTTTATAGACTTCTCTGTACTGCGAGATCCCCTAGACATTGGCATGATCCTTCTCAGTGTTATAAGGAGAGGGAGCCGCTTCCAATGGTTGCTCCTTAAATCAAACTGACACAAGCAGATTATGGTGGGAAATACCCTGGTTCCGTGGTCTCCAAACTTTTTACATCCAAGATCACTTTTTAAATGACAGACCAAGCCAAGATCTACTGCCTCGCCCCTTCCTTGAAGCCCCGCCCCTTCCTTGAAGCCCCGCCCTCTCTATTCTCCTCCTCTCCATCACTTGCTATCCCCAATCCTTATACTGCTCCTTTTTTTAAAAGGTTTTTCAACATTTGGAAGTGGTGCTCAGCCAGGGTGCACCACGCTCCACGTGGGCTGGTGCAGAGAAGAAGTTTCCTGGCCAGCTGGCTGTGGCCTTCAGCCTGGAGGAGGCTGAACCACTAACATGAGCATTATTATCCTAAAAACCAACAAATAGTCTAGTACAATGTATCTCAACCAGTAGTACGAGTACCCTTGGGGTACTCAAGAGACATTTGGGCAGTACGTCAACACAACTGAAACTTGGAGAAAACTGAATTTTTGTTTTAAGTTTTACAGCCCCCCGGGGCTGAGCGCAGGGCAGCCAGGCTGGAGGGAAGAGAAGTCGCTGCCCGGCCAGCTGGCCATGGTGCTCAGACAGGGTGCACCAAGCTCCACGTGGGCAGGCACAGAGAGGAAGCCGCCGATCAGATGGAGCGCGGGGCAGCCTCTTTCATCAGACAGCCACAGTCAGCTGGCTGGGGTGTTTCAGCCCTCCCGACCTCCCAGCTCCCACCATTCCTCGCAGCTATTCACCTGTGTTGTTGCTTGGTGAGTAGCTGCTCCTCAAATGAGGAAATCTAATGTAAATGTACTGCGTAGGCACGCAGTTCAGAGAGGGTTCAAGAGCTACTCTTAGAACCCCTGAGATCTACTGGTAGATCATGATCCACTGGTTGGTGACCACGGCCCTAGTTGCTGCCATTCATTCCCTGGAAAATGTTTGCTCTCCAGGACTAAAGGGTGTCCATTTCCACTGGGTAATTAGAGGGAACATTTGGCTGGCAATCATTACTGCCTGAAAGGCTTCAGCAGTTATGTGAAATGAAGGGATGAGCTTCCATACACCCTAAATTCACTTTAGAATTATGATTAAATGCAGAATAGCATGTCCTTCATACTCACAAAGCGCCCATTACAGATACCAGCCTCCCAGCATGTGCCAGCTGATGATAACGTCCTGTCCCCTAGAATTCTGACTAAAGGCCAAAACAGGAAAAATGTCCATGAATAACAAAAATACCAGCGTCTACTTCCTTTATATAGTCGTGTTATTTATTGTACATGCTTCAAAACAGAGTGGTCTTTGTAGGGCTATGGGACTATAGAAGTGTCTGGAATATGACCAGTACTTAAAATGAAGGAATGAAGACTAACACATAAGCATCTTGAAATACTTTTTACACATCCTCTCCAGAAGAATGAAACAGTATGGGAGCAGACATCAAAATATGCCTCCTGTTGGACAGTTGTAGCCTGGAGATGAAATAGGTTGTTAAAACGAAGGAGACAATAATTGCCTTAATAAACTGCTTAGCATTCATATAATGCTCATGCAGGATCCATAAAGCATTTTACAAATAGCAGTTAGTTAAATCTTGCAGCATCCTGGTGAAAGACAGGGATGACATGTATCATTACTTCCATGATATAGATATGTAAATGGAAGCGGAGGTGGGTAAGCAACTTGGCCAAGTGCAAAAAGTGAGTCAGTGGTAGAGGTGGGATTACAAGAGACTTGGACACATACTTCCGTACTCTAACTATTAGATAACAGTGACTCTAGTCAAAGCAAGACTACTAAAAATGCTACCGAAGTATGTGGTAATGAATGGTCCTTCATATGTTGAGTTCTCTTCTGTGTGAAGATGAGCTAATTACAGCAAGAGCTGAGTGAAATGTTTTGACCAAACTGTTTTTGGGTGAAAAATGAAGATTCAAGTCAAGTAAAACATTTTGCATTCTCATGTAAACTTCACTGCATTTTTTCAGTCAAAAATTCCCAACCAAAAATAAAAATTCTGAAAAATATAATAATGTTTTGTTTCAGTATTTTCAAACTGTTTTGATTTTTTTCCTTAGAAACTACCCTTGTTTTGATATTTCCTGGAATTTTATTTCATCAACAACAACAAAGTCTTTTAAAAATTTGAAATGGAAACAAACTTTTCATTTGACTCAAACATTGTTTTGGAACTGCCAGCAAATCAAAAATCAGTTATTCACCTAGCTCTAGTTTGCCAACTTCAGAATCATAAGAACATAAGAGTGGCCATACTGGGTCAGATCAAAATAGGTTGAAGTGAATTTGGAAAGAATTTACCAGATGTTAAAGTCAACACTATGGCTCTGTAAGGAAGAAATATAGTATTTAGTAACCAAGTCAGTAAATCTTCACTGATAATGGTATACAGATTTTAAAAATCTCAAAGGGCTATAAAAACATGCACAGAAGGTGGGAGCCTGGTATAATAATTAGTCACATCTAACTATATGATTAGTAGCACCCTTACCAAATTCACCGTCCATTTTGGTCAATTTCATGATTATAGGATTTTTTAAATTCTAAATTTCATTATTTCAGCTATTTAAATCTGAAATGGCACAAAGTTATAATTGTAGAATCTCAAAGGGCTATAAAAACATGCACAGAAGGTGGGAGCCTGGTATAATAATTAGTCACATCTAACTATATGATTAGTAGCACCCTTACCAAATTCACCGTCCATTTTGGTCAATTTCATGATTATAGGATTTTTTAAATTCTAAATTTCATTATTTCAGCTATTTAAATCTGAAATGGCACAAAGTTATAATTGTAG